TATATATATATATATATACATAATATATATATATATATATACATATATATATATATATATATACATATATATATATATATATATATATATATATTTCTAAAGACGATACATAAATTTATCATCATGCCACATTATGAAATTTGCTTTCTATTTTACTTTCCAATGCTTTATTCAGTTTGCTTCCGTTATAACATGATATTTCTGTAAAAGGAGAAACCAATCTACTCAGTCATTAAACCAGCTTGATATGGACTCATGGGCAACCCGTCTTGTTTGATGTCAAGGTGGTTGCTGAAAGTTCAGGCGTTGCCACTAATTTCATCTCTTTCTAAGAAATACATTTCATATTTAGTCGAACAATACTTTTAAGTTTTAGTACAAGAATAAAATTACCTTGAGTAATCATCATAATCAATGAAATCCTGAATTCAATATATATTTGAAAAATAATTTATATTTAATTCACATCTATTTATATCATTAAATATATTTCACCAATATATTTTTATAAAGACATTCATTAGGACTGAAATAATTACTTGCTGAAATGCTGAAAACAACACTTTGTCTTACTCGTACATCTACAATTGCTCACTTAATGAAAACGAGGTTGGATTGTCTGAGCTGAACTGCTAATTTTTCGTTGCACAATTGGATCCGCAAATGACGAACTTTCCTCGCATCATTCGTGTTATTATTGTTTTATTTGCGGCCCTCACCATTATTCCGTTGAATTCCCTTCAATTTGCAGCTGCGACCCATACAAAGCTGATAGGAGGACCGTACACCAATTATTTCATTATAATCAGATCCCGGAGACTAATGATCGCAATTTGTCTGAGACCTTCAGAGGTACCGCTCGCCAAATACGTCGATGATTGTACGTAAAATTCCGAGCTTGGGGGCAGAGATTTATTCTCGAGCGCGTGGCGCAAATGAAATTAACGAGTACTGCATATAAAATACTGTGCACTCGTTCGTGTTTTGCATGTTGCGATGAACCACAAAAATTATCAAATTAACATTATCAAACGGAAATGTAAAACAATATTTATCAGGTTAACATTTTATTTTCGGCATGCAAATAAAGTCACTTATTATCAATATTATCATGTATATTGTCATTATTATCAATTTTATCATTTATAATATCGTTATTGTCACTTGCAAAGAAAAGAGAAAAATTTAATTACGCGCCGCGGTAGATAAAATAATTAAACATAAAATCCTGCTAAGCGTCGGCGATGATCATAGTTACATTTTAAAAGGAGGTTGCACTACATTGATACGATGTACATGGTAATTACTCTTATAATACATCAGCGTTGCCGTGCTATGTACATTCCCCAATAATTACCACGAAACACCAACCGTGTAATTAGCCGTGTGGTTGAATTAGCGGATACATAATGGTGATGTTATACGTATAACATCGAGTGAATACTCACAATATTTTCCCGCGGTATTACCAGCCGCTCCAATTTCCAGCTTTGGCAAACTATAGTAATATGTCCTCTACGAAAAAAACTTTCGAGGTCTTTAATGCGACAGTTCTTTTTTAAAAAGGAACAGTTTTTGCAAAATGCAAATATTAAAATTGCTTTTTCATTGTAATTTGTTTTGTTAATTGTGAGTGTGCTCAAGCGAGACCGGAGTGCAAAGTTTTGAAAGTGTTGAAACTTTAATAACTTATAAAATGCGTCTGATGAGAAATGTTGAGCGACGAGGATATTCGAGCGCGTGTGGCCGCTTTTAAATTATCATGTCAACTAGAAAGCTGGCGAGCGATCCGGGAAGCAATCTAGCCTTGATGGGGCGATCTACGATCGCAGGAAAGTGACTTGACGAAGTCGCTCCGTATTAACTTTGCGGCTATGACGAAAGTTACAAGTAGATTATATACGAATGACCAATCGGAGTTAACGATGATTGATAAAAACCAGTGCCGTGCACTGACCCGCATCGTGAACTTTCATTTATATACCGTTGCGTAACTGCATAACTTTGCTAATTAATTAAATTATGCAAAATCTATAGACATAGTTTGCGAAAGAAAATATATTAAATTTTAAAGCAATTATTACACACGTATTATCGGTAACTTGATAATTTTGAATAATTTTTCCGCATAAGAGATCATTTTGACAATGATAAAAAGTGAACGTAGACAAAAGGCGATTAAAATTAGCCAGGCGTGACTACTACGTTATATATGTCGCGTCACGCAATTTTAGTATTTCTGACATTAATAAATATAAAGCCGAGTATTGGCAAATTGGAACGCAAAGTTGACATAATGTAATTTTTATTCATATTCATTTTTATTCGCTATAGACTGTTTACACTTTTAACGATAATAGACTGGAAGCCCTTTGAATTTTTTAATGTTAACGTAGAAGATTGAACTGCTGCAAATGGAATACTAAATTATACATTTACTATATCTCGTTCACTTTCCTGAAATTATTGGCAACTTTTAACCATCGTATATAAGCTTGGCAATTACGTAGAAATAAGCAGATACGAATACTTCCTGGCTACGGCACAAATCGAACGTGTTGGAAATAAGAACTTCTCGACGAGAAGTCTCGCGCTAAATTACTCGGCAGCGAGTCGCACATTTCGCCATAACGCGGCGCGTTAATTCGGACGTACGTTGCAATTCGGTTTACCGTTAATGTCGCGCGTCATCGATAATTAAGCCGGAATAATATTTTTCACCCGTTGGCAATTATTCATTTTTGTGAATTCTGATTGCGCCCTTCAGGAAGGGCGTGCTGATTAATGAAATGCGGCGAGGTGGGCGAAAGGGATAGGAAAGAGGAGCGGGGGGAGGGGGCGAGAGGGAGAAGAGGGCTGAACGTAATTTCAGCCGTCAGTTCGCGCGGGAAGATAACGGAGTACCCTCGGGAATTTATTCTCGGGAGCCGATCATCCGTGAGACAGACGGCGGCTTTTTGTCGTTACCTCGTTACGGCTAACGAATGACTTTCCTGCCTCCCGAACGGGCTCGCAACGCCCGCCTGCGTTTTCACGTTCGTCGCGCGCCCGCGACGTTCCCCCGGATGGGGCGCCCCGGAGATTTATGAATTTAATTAAATCGCTATCAGATTCAATTTAATCGTATCATTTGCGCAACTAATGTCAAAATAACGACTATGTGTCTTACATCGATCGTGAATGCGTCGATCGAGACACATTGTGATTTAAAAAAAAATTTCGTTTGCAGATCTTGTTGCCCAACTCGTTTTGTGAAAAACGAGTTTGTCCGAACTGTAGTTAATTACGACAAAATTGACCACATGTAGTGGCACTAATTACTTCGCAACGCGTATTTGCCGCTTAGTACGAGGTGGCAATGCAAACAAAAACGGTCAGCTAACTCGTTATTGCCATTTGTTACGCCTATTTAATTACGCTGTAATGTTACGTGCCAATTATATAATTATAAAACTATTATATAATTATATAATTATAAAACTATAAACTATCTTAATTATTTAGACTTTTGAATAAACACTTATATTACTTCTTATTTAATAGCCAGAAAATTACTTCTTTTGGCGTTCTAAGCGAAGATTAAATGACAAGACTAGATTACAATAAACAATGAAATAATATTCATAGAAACACAAAGGAAATAGATTCCTGTAACTTGTTTTAAATAATGAATGAATAATAATTTTATTTCCGATACCATTTAATAATCCATTTAATAATTCATTTAATAATCCATTTAATAATTTTATTTTCGATACTATTTAATAATCGATGCCGGATTTCGACGTCGATAAATTTGTGATTTAAATACAATTCGGCAGAACGTGCATATTTAATCGGATATTTGCGATTTTTTTAATTCAGAAGTAAATTACCGAAACGTTAAGGCACGCGTGAAATTTCTCATTCCACTCGGCTAAATCGACGCGTCGAAGTACATAAATGCAGGTGCATGCAATATCTGTACTGGTTGACGGTTTGGAAAGTACATGAACGTAAATACGCGCACTGATACCAAGATATATTTCTCTCCGTATGCGGGGCATAGGTTTCCACGTGGTATGGGGCATGATTTCGCATAGGATTGAGCGCCATATATATGGCGAGCGTTTTACGGGAACACGCAGTTTAGGGTCGAAACAGCAATAACAACTTTACTAACGATTAGAAGCTTAGAATATAGAAATTTTATCTCCGTTTTTTTCTCAGCGCATTATATTCAGAATTTTAACATTGACCTGTGCTATATCTATGATTAAGTGTGACTGAAGATTCGGACTGATGTATATTTTCGTTGGATAAATGTGGTAAATATGTGATAACACAAAAGGAATAATAAATAAGGTCGTTTAGTTTAATCATCAAAATTGGAATTAAACAGAAATTTAAGATACAGATTATTATTATTATTATTTTGTACAAAATGACATTTTATTTTATGTACATATACATATATTTATTAAAATTTAAATTTAATATATATATTTTATCATTTTTATTATCATTACAGAAGATTTAGTTTGTTAATTATAAATAAATTTGAAAGCATTAGACATTTTTTTTTAATTAACGTGCAATTCATGTTTCAAAGCATTACGTTAGAAAGTTAGTTTTTACGTAAATTTTGTGATCCAAATTAAGAAATATTAATATGTCGTAATATTCATTCGTGTGATACATATTAGAACTGGTTAGGATGTCGAAAATTCTCGTGTAAATGATGTCGTTTAAAAACGTTTAAAAACTGTTTTTACTTACATAATGTCAGGATAATTACGTCGTGTCGCATTCCGTTTTTCGCAAATACTGTCATATAAAATCAAAAACACATGTAGGCAAATACTCATACGCGCGTGCGCATATCTTTTAATTAACTTGAACAATATTAATGTAGGTGTATGTAATGCAAAAAACGCGATAAGTGCTCATACGTATATTAAGATATTAGATATTACGTATACATAGGTAATTAATTTTTTTCAGAAAGAGTTCTTAGAAATTATTACGTCTGCACTTAATATACGTAATCTAATTAAAAACCTAGATATATAGGCATATGTATAATAAGCATTAATGTATGCTTATATATGGAACATAGCCTAATATTTATAAATATATTTATTTATCTATTTGTTATCTTTTTAACAAGAATTATTGCATAATGATATTTTTAATAATATTTTATATAATAAATAAATATATTTCTATATACAGAAAGGGAGAGATCGAAGGAGAGTTAAAATGAGAAGTTATTGCATTTGGAATTGCGTCCTCGTTTCGATCTTCTTATTTCTATGGAGCAGAAACGTCGATGGGATTCAAATATGGAGTATGCAATTTGGACATGCTCCGCTTTTGGAGAAATTCACTTGGAAAAAGATGGACTTTGCTTATCCCGACGAGCGCAGCCGACAGTTAGCGATAGCAAGTGGCGAATACGTGCCGGAGAATTCTCTGCCTGTCGGCATCGAAATCTGGAGGAATAAGCTGTTCGTCACGGTACCACGATGGCGCGATGGTAAATGTCCGAAATATATTAGTCATTAATTACGGCTTTGCTATTGTCTCGATTAACGTCTTAGGACGCGACAGACAAATGGGCTTCTTGCCAAAAAAAAAAGCGAGGCGCGACGCTTCAAAGTCATGAACCGGAAGCAGACGCCGGCGGTATAATGCGCGGAAGATCGCCATAGGAGGTACACGCCTCGATTCCCGTCTGAACGACTTCCGGCCCGCGAGCACAAAAAGCACCGAAAACCGCGAGTGTGCGCTCAATGGGAGCGTTTCTGTCTTTGTCGACCTCCGCCTCCACCTTCACGGGACCCGGGTCTCGCCGACACTCTCTGCCCCTCCCTGCTCCCCGACGGGAGGGAAGCACAGCGAGGAACGGGTTTATTCAAGCCCCTGCTGCCCTTTATTCACTCCACTCTTTTTGCACGCTTCATGTTTATTATATACGTTGGCGCGCGCCACCGTTTTTTGTGTTGCACAAAGACCGGACAATGACGGCGGCACGCTGTGTGTAAGATCTTTAATGTTCTACCCCCTTTCTGTCCGTCACCGCTTTACTTCCTTCGGAAACCTTCGCGGATTCTTCGCAATTCCTCCCTTTCGCGCATTCCCTACGTTTATCTTGCATTTTTTTTTTCACCGTCTAGCTGCGAACGCGTATCGATGATTCCGACATGTAACTTTTGAATACTGATTGTTATTGGCTTCAAAAATGATAATACTAATAATTATAGCGTTTGTAGATAATATAATGGTAGATTATTTTGTACTGCAGGAATACCATCTACATTGAATTACATACCGCTGGATGCAAATCAAGGTAGATCGCCGAAGCTTATACCGTATCCGAATTGGGCGCAGAATAAGGCTGGTGTTTGTCGTAGCGGATTGACCACTGTTTACAGGTGATAAATAAAAAATAATAGATAGATAATAAAAAATTTCATTAACCCGAATGTGTTAAAAAGTCTCTTTCCCTTATTTAATGTTAATAAAGTATTTTTCTTTAGAATTCACGCTGATGCGTGTGATAGATTGTGGGTATTGGACACTGGAACAATAGGAATCGCTGAAACGACTGTACAAGTCTGTCCTTATACTTTGAACGTGTTTGACTTAACCACAGACAAACTGCTGAGGCAATATAAACTTAGATCGGAAGACATCAATCAAGTATATATATATATAATACTTTTCGTATTTGATTTATATATTAATTCCATTATTTTTTAAATGTCTAGCCGATTTAAGCGTTTTACTGACTTTTTGTTTTATTACATAGAACACTTTCATCGCTAATATCGCGGTTGATTTGGGGAAAGGCGGTTGCGATGACGCTTTCGCTTATATGTCTGATGAACTCGGCTATGGCCTGATCGTATATTCGTGGCAACGAAATACATCTTGGCGAATAACGCATAGCTACTTTATGCCGGATCCTCTGGCGGGTGATTACAATATCGGAGGCTTGAACTTTCAATGGGGAGAGGAAGGTATTTTTGGAATGAGTCTGTCGCCAATATTAGCAGATGGCTACCGAACGCTTTTCTTTCATCCTCTTAGCAGTTATCGAGAATTTGCGGTCTCTACGAGGATTCTGAGAGATCAGCAATTATCCCAAAACAGTTATCACGAGTTTCAGGTATCTTTTGTTAATATCTTTATTTAACAATTCCTATTCAAATAATTTTTTTCTTTTATGTTATCTTCTTTTATAAATTTGATAATATTAATTGTTATAAAATTATTATTATTTTATCTGTATTATATTTTTTAAAAGGTGGAATGGAATATCATTTTACACCATTTAAAATTTATACTTGAGAAGACTTTTTAATACATCTTTTATGATTTTTTAAAATCCAAATTTATTATATTTGATTAGCACATATATGTAGCATGTATATGTCGGTTAATTTATAATTTTTTTTCTTGAATCTAATTTGCTGTTAAAAATTGAGTATATTATGGTGTTATGGTGGTTATTATGTTTCGTTATTTATTTTTATGTGGTATAGGTGTTGCCGTCGAGAGGGCCGCTTTCTCATTGCACCGCATCCGTAATGGACGAGAACCGACTTCAGTTCTTCAATTTAATTGATCAGAATGCAGTTGGCTGTTGGAATTCTATGTTACCTTACGCACCGATCAATCAGGCAATCGTCGCGAGGCATGACGAGGCTCTGATATTCCCAGCAGATATCAAGGTGCACTGGGTTTCATAATACAGAATAATTACCTATGAAGCCCCATAATTTTCGTTTACCCTCGCTTTCTCTTTACCGCCCGTAGGTGAAGCGCGGCTTACTCTGGATAATGTCGGATCGAATGCCGATTTTCTTGCTATCGTCGCTAAATTACACGGATGTGAACTTCAGGATACTCACCATGCCAGTTCAGGCAGCAATCGCCGGGACGGTATGCGATACCATATCGTGGAAATATATCAACAATCAAATCTGGTAGTACTGACTACGGTTCATCGATCGCGTGTAGATTTCCGCGATCGTTTTGCAATATGCAATTCGCAATATGCAGTTGCATTTGATCTTCACGCATTTGAGAATGTAATCTGCAGTAAATTGAAAAAAAGTGATAACATAAACGTATTCTCTCCCATGTTTCTATGTTCCCCTCAGGCGAAGCATAGAGTTTCTCGGATATCTCGTGTCTGATACGAGAGGCGACTGGCTTGTGCGGCTCGTGCGGCGCGAAAATAGCGAGCGGAATGACGTGAATCAGCATCGGCGTGCCCCGCAGGAGCCAAATGGTCCAACGAGGGCCCATTAGTTTTGGCCCTCGTTTCCGATAATTTGAAGCCGACCGGCGGCCGTTCCTGATATACGATCCGATATTGCTTCCTTCGAAAATTATCCGTTTCACGCCCCCGCCCGTAAAATATGGCCACGCGCTTCGTCTGTTTTTCGTGGGGCCGCAGGATTAGAGCTTTCTTTCTCTCCGGGCGACGCTATGCACGCGGGGTTTCGTTTCATCCGCCGGACGGGTTTACGTTCCGAAGTAATCGAACCCGAAGTGAAGCGCCGAATTTCAAGACGCAAGAGCCATCATTATACTGCGATTATTAATGCTCCTTGATTTATTATTTTGTATACTTCGAGTATACGCACGGAGTATATTCCGTACGTATGTATGTGTATCATGCGTGGTCTACTCGTCGGGGCAGCGAGCGTATGATGATTTACGCATAGATCACGGGTGAGATCTATCCCCGAGTTAGCGAGCGTACGCAGCCCTAAAATTTACGTGGCTGCGGTTCCGAGAGAGATCCGCGGCTGAGATCCGCACGCCTCGAATGCTAATTCCGGAGGATCGATAAATCGGCAGATCGCGGAGCGGCTCGGACTCGGGACTAACTGGCGATTAGAGGGCAAGCAGATACTCGCCTCGCCGATTGTCCGTTGCGATATCGGCGCGGTTTTCAATTTGGAAAACGAGTCTTTTCGCGTGCCGCATCCCGATCGTGATAAGCCGGGGATCTTAATGGCTCCGTAGCTGTCTCGTTAGCGCCTGGATCACGATCGAAGAGGAAGATCGATCGATCTGTAATGAATTAGATACGCGCTCGGGACTTGCCTGGAAAGTCGGGCATCTTATCTCTTTTATTATCGAATGCGGGATTACATGAAAAATTGCCTGTGCACTTATCATTACGTTACGCCTTCTCTCGTAACGTAATGATAAGTAAAGTTATATCACGGATATTAATGACACGAAAGACAAATAATTCGTGCTTAATACAACGACGTAATACAACATATGATGGCAATAAAAACAATAATTTCCCTGTCATCCATGTAGTTTTTATGTGTTGTTTTAGATCAACTTCCTTTAGATTTTCTGGAGGGCGTTGCCCATCGCTTCGTGAACGCGAGTCGTAAAATCACCTTTGAGTGATGAGAAAAAAATGGGAAGGTGCGAAGGGAAGGTGGCCACACTGCCCGGAGGTAAACATAAAAAAAATTGGTTCGAAACTGCTGTGCTGATTACATGTTATATACGAAAATTTGCTGTCGCAGTGGCGTGTTCGAGTTTGAAATTTTGCAAAGGATTTATTTTTTATAAACACATTACTACGTATAGAACATACGTAGTATTATTTATATCGCGATAACTTGATTGTTGCGTATCAAACAGTATATGAAGCTATTTATAATACCTTATGGTATTATAGATATGAAACTATAAAAATAAATATATTTCTATAAATGATTTTTATGATTTATTATATATATATATTACGTATTTAGCTAACACATGATAATAAAAATTAAATTATATCGATTAAAGAGAGACACCCTGTACAATTTAAATGTTTAATCTGCATTGTTTAATCATGCGAGATCGAACAAATCGCTAATATCCGAGATAGAAGCGAAAATTTTTTTCGATACGCCACTGAAGATTGGCTGGTTGAATTTCAGGGCGAATAAAAGTACACGGCGGCCGAATTTCAAATCGGCACTATCCTTCGGTTTGTTTTAAATTAACACCTACCCCGCGTGAACGCACGGGCACAAAGCACACTTTAACACCTTTTTAAAAGGTGGCTGCACGACGGCCGTCCGTTTTTTTTCATCGGCGCCAATAATTATGGGGTACCAGCGACGACGTGAGTCTCGTTATAAGTTACTCTTGGCCACTCTTGTATCTTCCTTAATCTTTTTGATTTATTTCAGTCTGACTTAAGTAGAGAGGCTCTTCTATTTCTTACGGTCGAAATCTCGTTTACTTCCGTGAGAATATAAAATATAAAAAAATCATGCTAACGCTAAAAATCACTGTCACGGCAGGAATGCTTTAATTTTCTGAAGACAATAAGATATATTTTAATCTTATTAAACAAAGGCTTTGCAATCTTGAACGTATTATTTGTTTTAAGTCTATTGTTAATTTATATATGTAAACAAATATGTTATACATAATCATATTTTTTATCTAATAGATTAAAATAAAATAGATTAAAATTATAATTATTTAAAAATAATTTTAATATATCTGTAAATTGAATGATAAATTATTTGTTAATTAATGTCTGCCTAAACTTTATTCGTTTATCATGGAGATTGCATTAAATTTTATCACGAATTTAAAATAAAGGTCTAATGTTTAAATGTCAAAACGCCGTATGCATAGCAAGCAGAAGGAGTTTTGGTTAGAATACTATAAATATGGAAACGATAAAAGCATTCTTGAAGGAATAGGTGCTTCCATCTGTATAGAAGAGTTTCAAGATAAACAGTCTCGCGGCAGTCTCGACCGAGAACTGCTGTAACATTTAACTAATCCTTTCTTCTTTCACGTGCTGCCTCTACAGAAACCACGAAGAAATGTGACAAATGCAATTGAAATATTTATTTAAAATAATTTGATATAATGTACATATGTAGATTATACCGTTAAACAATTATTAGAAAAAAATACTTGTATTTATTAAACGATAAAAAGCATTTGCATATATACTTTACAATTATCAATAAAAATAACAGTAATGTGATGAATATTTGCATTTTTATATTTTTTCACAAAAAATAACATTCAAACATAAATTTACATATTAACTTTCTCAATTACTTTTGTATTTATAAAGAAATAATAAAAAATTTTTATTTTTATTTAGTTACACTTTTAAAAAAATATCAATTAAAATATGATGAAATTCAGAAGACGCGATTGAAGATTAATAAGTACTTTTTTATTAAAAAAATATTTTTTAACAAAAAAGATATTCATTAATCTTCGATCGCCTCTATAAATCAGATATCAAAAACATTATGGTATTTTCTATTCCTATATTATTCTCTCTTTTCTATATCATACTTTTTTAATTCAATCTAAAATAGATTGAATTATGATTTATTATTTTATATAAAGTTCAAGATGGATTAGTTTCTTGTATCTTAACATTTTGATTAATCAATAATTGACTTTAAATTAACCAAAGAACAATAAATGAAATATAGTACGTTAATTCTGAGACAATATGTCATTGAGCATACATTTCTCTTGCTGAACTAAATTATCTATAATTTTACAAAGATTCTATACATAAGCTGGAACTACGAACAAGTTTAACTCCCATGTACGCACCAAACTTGTTGTCATTATGCACACTGTTTCATACATATGCAGCCTCCATAATTTTAACGTAATATAAACTCCCAAGGCAATTTCTCTCTTGGAGACAAAATTGTAAAAATTAAAAAAATCTGAAGCTTTTCAATCTAGATATTTATTTTCAGTCGATAGTCTTACACAGCTAGTGGTCAGGAATTGTAATTGAACACGGTCACACAAGTGTGTGCGTGTAATGCAATTTTAGAATTTGGTGGAATCCCTTTCAGACACATAAACGCGAGTTTGTACAGCCACACTGTAGCCGCATACGTCGAAATTCATTACGTCAGCTGCGTACAAAAGAAATGGCCTTGCGTGTAGCGTACAAAAAAATAACGTAAAAGAAAAACCGATGTATGCGGTTCTATTCCATCGCAATATATCTCTAGGCAAATCCATGGCAATAATAAATAAAAGTTAAATAATTTATTTATACAATAAAATAAAATTGGTTTCATGGAAGTATTTTACAAAGTTAAGGAAGCAATAATTTCTGAAACGGCTGAAGTAACAGTATGTTTAAAATATGATAAAACACAATAAAACAAAAAGAAATTTTTATCATCGAATAATTCTATAATAGTACAGTTTTGATGAATATAATAAAATCAATGTATTTTAAATAAGATATGAAGATACGCAATTACTGAAATAGCGACATTTGAAATGGTTCTCTTTCTGCGTTTAATAATTCATAATAGAAAGATCAAGAGGATCAAGAATTTTCGAGCTGGCTGAAAGAAGAAAACCAGCAGATCAATTCTTACTATTCTCAAACGATTATACCTCTTTTTTAAACGACTTTGGAATTGACGTAATGCGACGAATAGGATCTTCTCCTTGTCATATTGCATTTAGCTGACGCATTGAGATTTAGAACATCCGACATTTGGCTCGGAATTGCCGCTCGGAAATTCCGCGCGTTTACAAACAACATGTCGGTATAAATTAACTTAATTGGGATCGCAATATTGCATATTTACTGGAACAAAGGATTAAAGGATTAAAGAAAGTTCCGTATCATCAGATAATGCATTATGTATCATTCCAATCTTGATTTAAACTACTTCCGGCAATTGCTTTTCGTATAACAGAAGTGTATGTTCGAATAAGTCATGGTAAATTTAGTAAGAAAAATCGATTTGTTTAATGCAACAATACGCTATATGGTATATACAATGCATATACAATATACTCGATATAATATCAAATTTCCTTTTTGTTCCTTGAGGCTACGATAGTCAATTTAAAGTAGAATATTCACTTGTGAGGAAAAGAAGCAAATTATATCTTTTACGCTCGCCGAAAAAGTTCTTTCGTATCTTTTTGACTCCTCCTTTACAGTTTTCTCCATCTTTCTCTCCTCCGGCCGTGATCTCTCTCCTTCTTTTTCCCTCCACCATTTGTACCTGTCTGTGAACGACGTGTACCTGTCTGGAACACGAGCAGTAAAAGAACCCCCCAAGTACAT